TGCAGATTGGAGTGATAACGTACGTTAAATGACAATTTTCACTTGATACCTTCAAATTGGCTTTAACTACTTAAAACTGCACATTTGAGCGAAATCGGATTTAAAGTCACCATTTTCGCTTCAAGCCTCAGAATTGGCTGACAAACGCAGTTTCACCTGGTACAAGCTGTAAAAACTTAGTGCTGCACATTTCAGCGAAAAGAGAGTAGAATAACGATTTTTGTTTTACACTTTCCAATTGCCTCAGAAACACAGTTTAAGATACCTTAAGCTGTAAATACTTGAAAGTTCTCATTTCACTGAAATCGCACGAGAAGTGTCCACTTTTGCCTCCTACCTTCAATTACCTTAGAAACATATTTCTAGATACTTCAATTTTCAAGGACTTGATATTTAAGCGAAAACAGACGTAAAATGACGACTTTTGCTTTATACATTCCAGTTACCTCTCAAACACATTTTAAGCTACATGAAGCTCTCAAGACTTGAAACTGCACATTTGAGCGAAAGCGAATTTAACATGACGATTTTCACCTTATTCCTTCCAATTAGCTCAGAAACGCAGTTTTAGCTACTTAAATCTTTTAGGACCCTAAACACCACTTTTCAGCAAAATCATATTTAAAATCACGATTTTCAGTTTGAATTGCAGAATTGCCACTATGAGAGACACAATTTCAGCTACTAGAACTTAAACGGCTTGAAACTTTCTTTTTAAGCAAGAACGGACGTGCAATGACGATTATTGCTTTACATCTTTCAATGACATCGAAACACAGTTTTAGATACCATAAACCAACCAGTAACTAGTAATTTAAAGGTTTAAGGAATTGAAACTACATTTTGAACTAAAAACAGGTATTAAATGACGATTTTCGTTTTATAATTCTAAATTGCCTCAGACTTGAAACTGCAGAATTGAGGAAAAATGCGTTTAAAATGACCTTTTTTGCCTTATTTCTGCCAATTAGCTAAGAAAAACAGTTTTAGCTACTTCAAGCTTTAAACAACCTAAACTGCGCAATTGAGTGAAACCTCACAATTTGGTGAGAAAAACAGTTTCAGCTAACACATGTTAAAGCTTGAAACTTTGCATCTAAGACCAAACGGACGTACCCCGAAGAATTTTGTTTTCAACCTCCCAGTTGCCTCAGAAACACAGTTTTAGATACTATGAGCTGTAAATACCTGGAAGATCTCATTTCAGTAAAATCGCATGAGAAGTGTCCAATTTTTGTTCTCTACCTCACAATTTCCTCAGAAAATATGTATTAGCTACTAAATGCTTTAAAAGCTGGAAACTATAAAAATGAGCGAAAACAGACGTTAAATGACGATTTTAGCTTTATACCTTTTAATTGCCTCAGAAACACAGTTTCAGCTACTTTGAAGTTTTAAGGACTAGAAAGTATACCAATGAGCGACAAAAGACATAAAGCTGCAAAGACTTGAAACTATACATTTGAGTGATAACAGACCTTAAATAACGATTTTCGCTTTATTCCTTGTCATATCCTCAGAAACACCTCCCAATTGCCTTAAAATCACAGTCTCAAATACTATTAGCTGTACATACTTGAAAGTTTTAATTTGAGTGAAATCGCACGAGAAATGTAGATTTTTCCTTTTCACTTCGCAGTTACGTCAGAAACACAGCTGCACATTTGAAGGAAAATTGACGTGCAATAATGATTTTCCTTTACACCTTCCAATTGCCTCAGAAACATAGTTTTACATACTTTAAGCTGTACAAACTTGAAAGAGCTCATTTCAGTGCTTATTTTTGCTTTCTACTTTCCTAATAGCTCAGAAACACAGATTTAACTACTTGAAGCTTTAAGGACCTGAAACTATACGTTTCCAGAAAACCGCATGAGAGGTGTCCACTTTTCTTTTTGCTTGTTAATTATCTCAGAAACACAGTTTTAGCTACTTAAGGGTGTAAAGGCTTGAAACATCGTATTTGAGCAAAAACGGATTTAAAATGATGATTGTTACCTTATACTTCCTATTAAGCTCAGAGAGAAATTTTGACACCGAAAACTCTCAAAATTTGTAGGTGCAGATTGGAGCGATAACGTATTTCAAATGACAATTTTCGCTTGATACCTGCAAATTGCCAGTATCACTTATAGACCGTTTCACCCATTCAGCATTCCGGCAGTTTGTTGTTGTTTTCAAATGACGAAAGGATCTCTTAGGTGCTCTTTGCTTATGGCGGGTTTTCTCTTGTCGGTTCGAAGCGCTCAATTGCAATATCTTATCTTTAACTTTGTTGGGCGAAAGCTTGTTTCCCAATAGTTTGCCGGTTCCGGGGTTTATGGATAGCTTTACTTTGCTTCGCTCTTCCCTATTAGCAATGTTTTCTATAGCTTTAAGTTAATAGTGTTTCGGAATCTATACTCTACCTAGCTTCACCGTCATCGCTATAGTCAGGAAACATTTGTAAGTCTTATTCTGTCCTGAATTTTTTTTATCGCTCGGCTCTTCTTCACATGTATTTTTATTTATTTTCCTATTCGAACCACGCTCGATCTTTCAATACTCAACGGGCTCCTCGAGTATCTTCATCAGAGCGTGAGTTCGAAATCTCTATGCGTAGGGTCAACAAGAACTGTAAGCTACACTTCCCTTAACAACAGAAAATTGCTATCAGAACTGAAGCAAATAAAGAAATGAAATAATATAAGATTTTAACCATCGGAATATATTAGCACAAGCTTAGTGTGCTTTCATTTTGGTACTCATAGGGAAGAAACCAAATTCAGCAGATATTTCAGATGTTTTTAAAAAACAATAATTCATTGCAGGTTTAAAATCATAGCAATATACTCTCCTCCCATCGCTTCGGCGGGTTTGGATCTTATGTGGAAAGCCACCTTTCTGAGCGATTGTAAACAGCGTCTTGTAACAGTCACGGTAAGTCTTGCACCTGTACGTTTCTTTTAACTGCCAGCACCCTGCACCCTACACCCTGCAAAAAAGACCTGCCGGCCGACCGATGCTCCAGATATGTAATGGTCGCATCTATCCGTAAATTTCCAGTTCACTGACACGATTGATCACACTAGTTACTTTGAATGCACCTGGCATTGATAGTTATTGTAAAATATCTTGCTGCGGGAAAGGAAGAAATGAAAATGCCTGTTCAAATAAACCGGGTAACCCGAAAAAACTGACCCCCGGTCCGCGGACCYGCACTACGGCCTGAGTCCGCGAACTACCTATGGAGCGGTTCACGGACTCCCCCTACGGACCCCCTCTACAGACCACCCCCCCCCAAAAAAAAATCAAAATAATAAATATTTCAGTTACGAGTTGTCTAATAGATTACCCGTGACGGCGAAATTTCGAACTTTACATTGTGCAAATGTAACAGACCTGGATTCAGGTTTGGGTGCAATTTATACCATTACACATTGCCATTTGCTTTGCTGTGGCCATAAAGTAACCCTCTGGGAAGCCTTGAAATTTGTGTTCTTTTCCCTCTGCCATTTTGTTCAGCCCATTCTTCCGTTTGTTGGTGAACTCGTTCCAGGCTTCCCAATTTGCTCAGCGGAATAACAGATACAAACAAGAATAAATGGCCTAAAAATATATCTTTCATAGCCACATTGAGCCACGAATGGAAGGTACGAGCTTTCCTTTTTACCATCGGTATCTCTACGCGGGGTGGCGTGTTAAACACCCAAGTCTGTTACATTTGCACAGTGTAACACTCGAAAAATCACCGACACGAGTCTGAATCTATAAGCCAACCCATAAGTGACATCTTTATTATTTTTACACTATTTTAGTCTGGTCCGTAGAGGGGTCCGTAGGGATAGTCCATAGACCTATCCGTAGAGTAGTCCGCGGACCCAGTCCGTTGTGGGGGTCCGCGGACCGGGGGTCAGTGTTTTCGGATTACCCGGATAAACCACTGGGAATTTGAATATTCCCACACCTTAAAGAACTCTTTGCCCTGATGCCCTTATGATGTGCGAGTGAAAATAACGTTATTGCCTTTGAATCACAAATGCATCTCAAAACTACCTAACTGCGCGCCAAGATGGCCGCCACGACTTTTAGCTTTCCGTGTTTACTTCACTTTCTGGTTCTCTCTATCATTTGTCCTTTCATCTACCACTAGCCTCAAAGCTGAAACGTGTTTACTTTCGGATACGCCTCTATTGCCGGATTTTCCAGTCACAAGAACCAGTCTAGTACTAAAGCGATCCAAGCTGGCCAACGCTCCTTCGAGGCCGGTCGTTGAGTGAAGGAAGCATGGTTTCATTTGCATTTGCTTGCCACCGACGGACGTTACACTTTGTATGGATGTACAAGCTAATCCCGGCCCCCCTTTGACATTGGCGGACCCGAGGCCCTGTGTCCCTCCAACTGGGAATGTTCTTTCGCGAGCTGCCATTGCCGGCGCTCCGGCGTATATTTTACAGCCGCGAGGAGTTATTTGCTCTTGGATCTCGCGAATTTGCTCAGGATGCCAGTGCTCATCTCCACCAGCTTAAGCGCTATGGTTTGCTGCGATACCCTGGACCGAGGCTTAATAACAGGGGAAGGAATAACACTCGAATTCGCCCAATTCCAACTATATTTAACTACTGTCCGGATTGCCGTCATCACAATGGCAGCCACAACGCTGAAAACCTACGACTAACACAGAGATCTGTTAATTTCGGGGTTTTGAGAAGCATTAAGAAGCTACGACAACCTAAAGTGTATGGCATACCTACTATTCTATCGACTAATGTCAGGTCACTGCCCAAGAAAGTAGATGAGATCCAACAAATCGCAGAACTAAATTCTGCTGGGGCAATTTGTATTACAGAGTCTTGGCTGTCTACTGATATTCCAGATTCCTGCGTTGCTATTCCTGCCTTCAATCTACTTCGCAAGGACCGCATTAATACTACTGGAGGTGGAGTGTGTATTTATTTAGACCGGAAAATACTGTGTAAATTATTACAGTCCAGCGATCAAGATGAAGTTGAGTCGTTGTAGATTTCAATGAGACCTCATAGTTTGCCAAGGCAAATAACATCTATTGTTTTAGGTGTTATCTATCACTCGACTAGCAACCGTGAACCCGAGAATGTTATTCTTCGTGATCATATACAAAGGAACCTTGATGCGCTGCTGTTGATAACACCTAAGCAATTGTTGTGTTAACTGGTGATTTTAACACCACTTCAACTGGGTTTTGAGTACAATGCATAACCGGGGTAAACCAACTGAAACAACTTGTATCTTTCAAAACCCGCGATACTGGCTCATTGGACTGGTTTTTTACTAACAGAGCCAAGCTATTTGTTCTATCACAGCTTCCGGAGGTCGGATCATGGGATCATTACACTATCTTAGCTAAACCAGTATCCGCCCCTCTCACTACCCAAACAACAGAGAAAATTGTTGTGCGTGATCTGCGAGATAGTGCGTGGCGTGCTCTCGGACGATGGATAACTCAAAAGGACTGGACCCCAATTCTTAATGCCTCCTCGTGCGAGCAAAAGTTCCAACTGTTCATGTCAGAGCTTGATGGTGCCATTTGTATGTTTCTCCTGCAGAAGACCATAAAGAAACATCCCACTGACCGCCCTTGGATAACCAGTGAGATCAAATTGTGGATCAGTAAACGCCAATCCGCATTTTCTAGACACGGAAAGGACTCTAATGCCTATCGTCATTGGAGAAACAAAGTTCAAGTTGCAATAAAAACAGCAAAACATCACTACTATCAGAAAAAGGTTGCAGATGTCAAACATGTGAATCCTGATGAATTATTAATTTCAGAGTTTGATGCATACAAGTCCTTGTCATCGCCTCAGACATCCAAAACAGCCGGCCCTGATAACATACCTAACCGGGTTCTGTAAGAGTTTGTCCTAGAGTTAGCCCCCCTTGTTTGTGACATTTACAACCAGTCTCTAAGGGCGGGGTACATACCAGCTCTTCTGAAATCTTCTGTATTTACTCCTTTCCCTAAGGTGTCTCGCCCCAGACTTATTGAGCAAGATCTAAGACCTATATCTCTTACTTGTACAATGGCAAAGGTTATGGAGGGCTTTACCTGTTCCAGACTTCTATCCCAATTGGAAGGCAATATCGACCCCTGTCAATTCTCCCGTAGGGGCACTCTACGACAGATGCCCTTCTATACATGCTTCAAGCGATCTACGAAGCAGTTGATGGTGGTGAGGCGTCGGCTCGGATATTCTTCGCAGATTTTTCTAAGGGGTTTGATTTGATTGATCACTCAATATTGATGCAGGAACTCGCTGATCTTGAAGTTCATCCAGTCCTTTTATCTTGGATAACAGCATTCTTGACATACCGGAAGGAAGCAGTTAGAAATGGAAGTACTTTGTCTGATTGGCTGACACTAAAAGGAGTGCCCCAAAAAACTAAATTGGGTGTAATCCTCTTTACGGTGATGACAAACAGACTGCTCTCTGACTGGCGGCTGCGCATCAAATACGTCGATGATACCAGTGTGCTCGAAATAATTCCAAAGAACTCCCCTAGTTTACTTAATATTGTGGCCTCAGACATTCACAAGTTTGCCATTGCTCATAATATGAGACTCAATCCAACTAAGTGTAAAGAAATGCATATTAATTTCCTACGCAACTCCAATTGTCTCATTAATCCCATAATAATTGGCGGCACTGTCATCAAGAGTGTCAATACCTATAAGATCTTAGGAGTTATTTTGCACAATGACCTGAAAAGGAACTCTCATGTTGATTACATTATTAAGAAGGCTTGTAAGAAGTTATATTCCCTTAGAGTTCTGCCCAGAGCCAGGGTGTGCCAACCCAACATATTGAGGATATATCTTTTCTCAGTTCGGCCAGTTTTGGAGTATGCAGTACCGGTCTGGCAGGATATTCCTGCCTATCTGTCCGAAGCCATACAGCTCATGCATTACTATTAGGTAAACTAGATAGGTTAGATGATAGAAGAGTACACAAAAGTATTATCTTTTCCGGAACATTCAGGCCTGCAGGACAAAGAGAGTAGAGGACTTTTTTACATTTACATATTTTATGTGACTCAATTGATAGTATCACTGTTATACTTGTAAACATGCAGGCCTGCACGACAAAGAGAGTAGAGGACTTTTTTACATTTAAATATTTTTTGTGACTCAATTGATAGTACCACTGTTATATTTGTAAATTACTGTACTTTAGATAATTTAAGATTATAAAATGTACTCGTTAATTCAGTTGTTTTACTGCAAGAGAGTTTTAATAATCTACTTTACTTTGCAAGTACTAGTGAAAAGTTAAATTGATATATGTACTCATTTCAGCCACTGGGCTGGCATTCACTCTATGGTAGATTCAATTATCTTTATAAGAATATATTTAAAATTTCTTGCTAGGAATTCATTCAATTCCTGGACAACCCTACAATGATGACTTGCTGGTTAAATTATTGAGTATGGGCATGGGCAGTTTAAACTTTGCTAAACAGCTAGTTGCAGACAACATACCCGAAGAGCCTACACCTCTAACTGACCTTCCATGGTGCCGGTGTCGCGTTTGTGTACCAATGGAAACAGAGCAAGAAAATGTCTGTTGCAAGAAACGCGAGTGCATCACTTCTTTAAGAACCCTCAATAACATTTGCTTGGATAGAGACATTTTTGAAGTCTGCATAAAGGCACGCTGTGATATCAGAGCTGATGAATTCAATTTTTCCATGGAAAGCTTCCGCAAAGCAGCTTAACGTCAGTTTTCTCTCTGGAAATAGGAGAAATTGGGTAGAGGGAACAGACGCGTCTTGCCTGCCTGTGTGGTAAGGATGATTCGACAAGCATACCCTTTTCCTGATGGGAGATACATGGCATTTAGAAATAACTGACATGTGAACAGCTGTCACTCATGCGTACTGCATATTATCAGCCTGATCAGCAACACATATTCCCTTCCTTACCCAATTTTACCTGGGTTTTGATCATCAATTAGGTAGTCTGGCAGAGCATTACTAAAAATGGACACTGGACACCTGATACCCGTTTAAATGGCCAAGTCGTGAACAGAAAATGAACTTCATCACGACATATTTATGCTGATATTGTTACCTGCTATTTGTATACATTCAAAGAAACCTACTTTTTTCTGCACATAATAAGTACTGGATTTATATTTGTTGAAAACTGATGTAATCCAAAACTATTGCTAGCTTTCCTTTATTATTATTATAATAAATTCAGTCCATCAGCTTGCTGTAGATGTCTAAAATGACAAATCCCATTTGAAACGGGACTTTTTCCCTGCTTGTGCACCTATTAGGACTTGAATATAATACAATTTTGGTTTGTTCAAACTTTTCCATGTAAAAGGGAAAGCCCTTAGTTCATTTGTACAAAATTTTAATAAATACATGGACATTTTAGCAACAGTTTCCGATGTAGAAAAATTTAGCATGCTGTGACATAGTTCCATTATTGCAATGATGGGGGCAATTTCCTTTGGATCAAATTCATTCATTCTATCAAAAGGCAATGTGAAACTGCCCTCATACATGGAGCGCTTGTACAGCATTTTCGCTACAAGGAATGAGAAATAACTGAAAGACTTTCCTTTCACAATTTCGGCATGAAATTTTTGAGACCTTTTTTAATATTTTCTATGGCCTTGCTCTTTTCCTGCTTTGGTTAGTTTTGATTTTCTTGACAACTGCATGTTGTGGTCGATTGCAACAAACGACACTCCCATGATGAAGTAAGGATACCTAGTAGAAGGTGATCAGATAATACACAGTTATCACCTGTAACACACAAATTAAATCAATAAATTGGTTTCAATTGAATCTATAGTGGTTTTAAATTGAGTGTTGTAAAACCAAAAGCAAACCAATTACTTAACAATTACCAGTGGACTTCTCAGCCATTCTGATGAAACCAAAACTAACAGAGGACCACAATATTATTTAGTTGTCGCTCAAATTTCTTTGTTAATTACTCACACTGTTTAACCCAGCGGGGAGTCAACAAGCAGAACCTTGCATGTAATAAGAATTTCGAAATATTGATTGTTGATATGTTTATTTTGTTACTTACTAGAATGCCATTCTTTTTGGAACATTATTTGTCATCATGCTGTTATACGACTCCAACACGCTGGTATTTCTGCAAAGGGACAAGAAACTGCTCTAATCTAATCAATCATTTAGGACACAAGCCAAGATAATCGTACATAACTGTTTTAACATATTCCCCCACTAGCCCGTGGCAAATACCTGAATCTCACATAGTAGTGAAGTGTATTGACCCCTGCGAAATAAATTCCCAGTAGTCTGGGAATTCCTAGGAATTCCTAGGAATTCTTAGGAATTCCAAGTTATTCCCAGACATGCAAATTATGCTTTATCCAAGACCTTGGAATTTCTGGGAATATTTGGGAATAGTG